AGATAAAATATTCGCCTCATTCTCTTTTCAGTTCCCCCTCTTTTATATTGAAGACTCGCCCCTTTTTTACACTTTTTTGGCCTGCATGTTACATAGGAAAAAGCTTCTAACTTTTCTTTGTTTTTTGGCTTTATAGTTTGACCGAGGAGGGGACAATGTCGGGGACAAAGCCCTGAACCAGGCGATAGTGATACATGTAAAGGATGGGGTAAAAACTTTTAACCCTGAGGCCCTTTTGTCATTTTTTTGGTAATTGATGAAGAACTCGGTGGCGGGTGACGATAACAACTTCGGGAGATGGGGAGTCTGACGCGTACATCTCACGAACATGACACTATAAGTGCATGAAGGTGACGAGACTTGACAAAAGTTTAAGGTAAAACCCTAAATTTCCTTAAACATAGATCGTTGGATCAGATTTGATCTAGCGACAGAGGATGTGGCGACGACATAACCATAGGGTGAAAACCCTAGCTCATTTCTTCTTCACACATGGGTCACTATTGGGCTTCTATTTTATGCTTGGGCTTTGTAAAATGGGCATTTAAAATTTTAATTTTTTTTGTGTGTATGGGTTTGTTTATTAAAATAATAATAATAACAATAATGAAACAAGAAAATGGTGATTATAAGTATCTTATGATATAACATAATTAGTAACTTAATTTATTCATATTTTATGATAACAATAAACATTATAAATATGTGTCTATAACTATGGATTTAATCCAACACAACTTTTTATTATTTTAAATTTATTATTGATATTTTTGTTTGAAAATTACATTTGTGAAAAGACTTAATATATGTCTTAATGCTTGTACAATAGTGAAATTCTTTATTGATCCTTTTATTATTATTTCGATCAATTTATTATGTCTACTTCCATGTCTACTAGGGTGAGCAAAACTTAACTCAACTAGAAAAATTGGTTTTTATTTTGTTTTGAGTTCGAGCTATTTGAGTTTTGAGTCAACTCGAATTATCAATTCTATTTTTGAGTTTGAGTCGAGCTGAAATTTGAAACTTTTAATTTACTCGAAAAATTGAAAATTTAATTGAGTATGTTGATAGTTTTACGATTTAGTTCATGATTTCTTTATTCCTTCAATTCTTCATCTATTTTAAGTCCATTTTTTACCAAATTTGAACCATATTCTCCTAAACCATCATAAAATACCTAAATACTTTCAATTCCTTTTTTCATAATTTTTTTCTATTTTTCAATTTAATCCCTCAACTTTCCACGATTTCCATGTTTTTTTCAATTCATCATACATTTTAAGTATGTTTTTACCAAAATTGAACCACATACTCCTATACCTCTATAGAATACTTATGTAACTTCAATTCCTATTTTTTTTAACTAAAAATGTACTTTTTTATTTAATTCTTTAACTTTGCATTTTACTCAATTTGGTCTTTTGTTTGTAAACTTTTTCTTCCAACTAATTTCTTAACTCCTTTATAGTATCATCAATACTTTACCCTCAAAATACATTCTTTAAAATATAGTATTGTAAATATATTTTATAATTTTATATTATATTTGATATATTAAATAATATTATAATATAAAAAGAATATGAATATATATATTATATGGTTAGAGAAAGTAAAAAAATTAGAATCAATCCTAATCGTAATATTATAAATAATTATAATAAAATCTGTATAGAAACTCGAATAACTCGTCTCGAATCGAAAAAATTCAAGTTAACTTTAAGTCATAAAATATGACTCGTCAATTCGAATAACTTAAAAAATTTTAAACTTAACTCGATTCAATCGAATAGTCACCCCTAGTGTGCAACACATTAATACTCCAGTTTTTATTAAAATATGGTATAATCTAACTATACATCACTATGTGTAATAACTATTTAGTAAAATTACTTTAAAAAATATTATATTTTTTATTTAAAATGAAAAGAAATTCCAAGGAAAATTAAAATATTAAAAATTCATTTTTTTTAAATTATTCTTAATATATTTTAAAAAATAAGTGTGATTTTTTTTTAAATATTTTAAAACCCAAAAAGACACAGCTTTCCCATTCAAGGAAACCTAACCACACAAGTAGGAGAGAGAAAGGTATACAAGAAACAAGAGGCCACGTGTCGCAACCTCACAATCTCTTCCCTAAATTCACAGAAAATCCCCCATTCCCCATTTTCTAAACACTGGATTAGCCTCTCTCTCTCTATCTCGTCTTCCCCTTCGATTTCAACTCAAATTCCCAAATGCAAAACCTTGAATTCCAACTATGATTTAAACCCAATTTCCCAAAACCCAAACTTTCCCACTAATTTCCCACTTTTTTCTGTATATTCATACCCACCCAACAATACTCGATACACATAGATTCGAACATCAATGGCGGCGGTCAGTTCCCTGTCTTTCTCGGCAATGGCCCAAACTTCCGGCGACCGAAAACTCAATGTCTCGTCGTCACGTCACCTGTCTTCCAATTTCGAAAGATTCCGTTTCCGTACATGCTTTTTACATCACTCCGTTGGTCTTCGAGCTTCCCCTGCTGCTTCTGCTTCCGTCGTTCACTGCATGTCCACTGGTACTGGTTAGTTAAGTTTTAACCTTCTTTTTGCAATGCTGGAACTACGATAGAGGGAATTAAACTGTGTGAATTATTCGATTTTATTGATGATGTTTTTTGTTTTGGGGTTTGGGGTTTGGTTCTTTTAGATGTCCCGCCAACTGTTTCTGAAACGAAGTCGAGTTTTTTAAAAGCATATAAGCGCCCCATTCCCAGTGTGTACAACGCGGTTTTGCAGGAGCTGATTGTGCTGCACCATTTGATGAGGTACAAGAAGACTCATCGGTACGATCCCGTTTTCGCCCTCGGTTTCGTTACGGTGTATGATCAATTGATGGAAGGTTATCCGAGTGATGAGGATCGAGAGGCCATCTTCCAAGCTTATATCAATGCCTTAAAAGAGGATCCCCAACAGTACAGGTTTGTTCATCGAGTTCCTTCGTCTCGATTTAATGAAGCGGACACTGATAGGATGATCGAATTCCTTATATGCCTGCGGATTTTTGAGTTATTCTTTGAAGTAAATGAGAAGAGAGTTTCCCTATAATGTTCTCTTGTTCATTGTTTCGTGCTTTACAGAGCTGATGCACAGAAATTGGAAGAATGGGCCCGTGCTCAAACTTCTACTTCGCTAGTTGAGTTTTCGTCTAGAGATGGAGAAGTCGAAGCAATACTGAAAGATATTGCGGAAAGAGCTGGGGGTAAGGGGAGTTTCAGCTATAGCCGTTTCTTTGCTGTCGGGTTGTTTCGTCTTCTTGAGCTGGCCAATGCAACTGAACCTACAGTGTTAGAAAAGGTGGAATCCTTCTCTCCTTGCATCTTTTGGTATATTGTTGGACTAAGTTCGGAATTACTTACACCTAACACTAGGTGAATTTATCAGGCGTAGGCCTAAGATGCCAGGATAATTTATTGCTTGTTAAATCATCTAAGGATTAACGAATCACTATTAACAGTTCACAAATGAAATTGGCAATGTCAACTTTTAAGTAACGACTGCACCTCTGATTCTAACTTATGGTATTCGGACAACAGCTTTGTGCAGCCTTAAACATCAACAAACGAAGTGTGGATCGAGATCTTGATGTGTATAGGAATCTGCTTTCGAAGCTTGTTCAAGCTAAAGAGTTGCTCAATGAGTATGTTGAGAGGTAAATTCTTTTTCCTTCTCTGTATTCTGTAATGCAGTTCTAATCCGAGTCACGAGAGAGCATTTACACTCTAAAATAATGCTATTGAACCTCTTGAAAGAACAACCAATCTTTTAGAAACAAACCTCTTGCAGTAACAAGTAATTTATTCTATGAACATGTCCTGAATGGATACGTTCAACGCTAAATGTGCTTGTCATGTTGTCTTTTCCAAACTATGGATGTGGTTTATTGCTCTGTTAATGTAATTCTGATCTCTGTTGTTAAATTGTGTTGCATCATGCTGTTGTCTGAAGTGTTTTTGGAAATGCAGGGAGAAGAAGAAAAGAGAAGAAAGATCAGAATCACCTGCGGCCAACGAGACCGTCAAGAAATGTTTGGGTGAATACCAATACCTAAGCTAGTAATTCAATCTGTGTACTCTGGATGTGCTTATAATCTTTCGTGGTACGTTGATCCGGTTTTTGTTGTCCGAGTTAGAAGACAATGACCCATGGTTTAGGCTCAAATTTTCAGCTTGTGTACTGTTTCCAATTTAGTGGCTGATATACACACGTATGTACTATGTAATTTTTCCAATACAGTGTTACTCTTCCAAATGTATCTTTGGTTCATAGTACATCAACTCAAATCTTTCAACTCCTGCTGTGTTAATCTTGCTCCAGCCATTTCTAACAACTCGACTCGAATTTTGGTCGAGTCAACATTCATGTATCTCGGGACAAAACTCGATGTCCCTGAAATAAGATCTCGAGTTGAAGTCTTGTAAATAGAAAAATATTGTAACAAATAGTGTCCCTAGAACAAGTTCTAATCCAACCCGACTCTAGTCTTAGTTGGAGCCATTGTTACAAGCATTTATCTTCGCTTCTTTTTTTTTTGGGTCACCATAACGGTCTCAACTAAGTCTCGAATCGAGTCAAGTTGGACCCTATTTTTAGTGACAAACTCTTTGTTGCAGTATGCTATATGCTCTGCATAGCCAAGGTGGCCGAGGACATTAGCTGAGTTTACCATTGCTATATGCTCTGCTTGATATAATAATATTTGCCGACAATAATTGAAGAATACGAGGTAGTGGCATATAGGAGGTGATGGTATTTATTACAGGAGAGAAAGTAGAGGGAAGTTAGGTTGGGGGTCAATTGCACATGGTATAACAAAGGTGTTGGCTGGATGAAGTACAAGTCTCCATGAAAGCGTCAGAGTTGAGCTCAGCTCGGCAAGTATCCAGTTGAAATAAAAGATCCAATTTAGCATTTTCCCCCAAGAAATATGAATATTTAAGGGTGCACTCGTCTATAACGTCTTCGAATTCTTTAATAGTTAAGAAACCAGAGTTATCTTTGTCTGCAGCCCTTGAATATGGCAGAGATATCTTCCTGAAGGAACATGATGGAAGATTACATATCATAATCTTTGTCAAAACAAACTCAAATGGTCAAAGGGAATTACCATGACTTTATTCTGATTTATAATGGCACAATCACCAAGGGCATACACATTTTCACTTCCTTTTACTCTCAACCATTCATCGGTTGCTAGAACACGTCTGTTAGACTGAAATGTGAATCTTATCGTAAGTGACCCGACTGCAAAACAACCATCAAATTCAAACATAACAATTGTAGAGAAGAAAGGTAAGTTTGTCTGAAATTAACACTCTATTACTCCTAGGGACTACAGACAAAATCATCATAGACAGTTACAACTTCAAAGTTGAAGCCATTACTAATACCTCTATTCAATCAGGATTTGGGATCATTTTTCTTGTCTTTATTCAGTAACTTTAACTTCAAAATACAACTTCTGATAATGGCCCTACGGTTGTTGAGTACCGTGGTGGTTTTGGTCTTGTTTATGCAAAGTAAAAGTTCTAATTTTTGGGTACTTTTAATTTGTACTTTGTTCCTAAAACTATCAAATAAAGATAATTTTGCCTTTCAAAGGAAAAGAATTTTCTCACCTGCCCGATTTGCGCCATGAAGTCCTTCACAACAGGTCGAGTCTCAACACCAGTAGACCAAACAACCAATCCATGGGGTACAGAACAAACCTCTCCTGTTGACTTGATCTTCATAGTGATTTCCTTATCGGAAAGGCTAAAAACACGACGTCCGGTTTGAACATCAATACCGTCTCTGCTAAATTTCTGCTCAGCAAAGCAACTTATACGTTAATCAAACCTGCAGAGAGTGTAAAATCTGCTAAGTTCTTTGCGATTTTGTCTATAGACCGCGTTCCAATTTATAAGTCACACTACATGTACCTCATGAGGAAGAAAATGAAACTGGTACCCTAACATGTTCAGTCTTCAGTCACAGAAGAGGCGGATGGGGATAATTTCGTCTAAAAATTTAAAATTATTATAAATTTTATGTTTTTCTATTAAAAATATGTTTTTGTCTCCTTGAAATTTTATAAATTCAAGTTTGTCCTCCAATATAAAATTTGATTGTGCCCTTTCGGGGGCTTGTTGATTGTTTGTAGCAGACTCTGCTTCCTTTTGGGTAATGAAATTTTAGCAATTATCCCAAAAAAAAAAGTTTATATATGTAGAAAACCCTACTTTCAATCTTTTATTTGCCTTTGTAAGTACCAACAGGCAGGGTTTTAAAAAACGGTCCGCGACCATGATTTCGGCCGTGATATAGCGATTTCGCTGCTGTCCGAGTTACCCGCGACGGCCACAATAGCGTCCGCGACAGCCGCAATCACAGTAAATCCGAAATAACCGAAAACGTGACCACGACCGCGATTTGAAACCCTTCCAACAGGTTCATCAGGAAATAGAACATGTTAAAAGGAACCTGACCCATTATGTATATTCTTGTGTTTTTCTCCAAGATGTTCCTTTTTAAGCTTTTTTTTCCTTTTGAGCTGCATGGATATATTGATTGTCTGTTAAAAGGGTTTGAGGAGGACAGGGATGGACGGAGATTTAAAATTACCATATATTTTAGATTTTTGCCTCCCTAACATAAAATCATGCGTCCATCCCTGGAAGAGTACCTGATTGTTTCTTTTGATTTGGCTTTGTTTCATTCTCCCTTGCTAGCATTGGTCCCCCCTCTCAAATTATTGACATGGAAATGAATGAATCTTATGTAATGCCACCATTGATATTGTACCTTTGCAGTTAATGAACTATGAGTAGCAGAGCACATTATGTACATTATTGTGTTCTTCTCCAACATGTACCCTTTTAAGCTTTGTTTTTCTTTTTGAGCTACATAGACATATTAAAAGGGCTTGAAGAGGACCTGATTGTTTCTTTTGATTTGGATTTGTTTCATTTTCCCTTGCTAGCATTGGTCCCCTCTTTCAAATTATTGACATGGGAATGAATGCATGCTATGTAATGCCAACCATTGATGCTATACCATTGCGGTTAATGAACTATGAGTATCGAGTAGCAGAGCACTCTTTTAGGGAATGTTGAATTCTTTCCCTGACACTCACACATTGGAGTATACTAATGGTGGCCAATGATAGTGATAGTTGGGCCAATCATTATATGTAAACCTCATGTAGTTGATCTGGGATATTAGATTTGTAGAGTTTAAAGAAAAAGACTTTTCTATTAATTCACAAAACTGACTTTTACACTTCTGTTTACCTATTTATACATAGAATACAAACCAACCATCACTAACTATCTAACTAATTCCTATGTCCTGTGCTAACTAACTAACCATGCCATATATTTTATTAGGACCGAGGGGGCGGATGGGGGTAGTCGCTCCCCTAGAAGATTTAAAATTAGTATATATTTTTTATTTTTTTCTTTCTATTTTTATTTAAAAAAAATTTCGTCCTCCTGAAATTTTATAAATTCAATTTCATCCCCTTAGCTTAAATTCTTACGTCCGTCCTTGTAGTATTGTAGTTGACAAATAAAGCTGAAGAATTAAGGGGTGGCATAAATTTAGTGGCAGAGGGTTGAAAATTGGGTGCCTTTTGTAGAAATCTTGAAATGCAAGTTAATCATTTTGGAGCCTTTTTCTTCATTGTTATCCATTTCCTATTGGCGGATAAGTAAAGGTAGGGCTGCGAGGCGTTTGGGTGAATTTAGTTCACGGTTTCAAATCGTGTTTTCGGTTATTTCGTGCTTATAACGATTGCGGTTATAGGGGCGTTATTGTCGGTGTAGCAGATATATCGAAAGGCAACGCTACCGCTATTTTACGGACGCTATCGCAATCACGTACCACTATTTAAAACCCTGGTTTAGTTGACTTAATGCATCTATTTTCGATTGCATTGCTTTTATACTTCACAATTGCGTGCTATCAATTATGATGAACGTTATTTGTGGAAAAAAGAGTAAATTATCCCACTAGTCATTGAACTTTGGTCTATGTATTGATTTTTTCATTGAACTTTAAAAGGCTTCAATTTTTTCACTAAACTTTTAACATTGTTTTTTGTTACTAGATCGTTAAATCATTAAGAGCCGAATGACGCAATAGTTTGACGTTGACATGGACGTCAAAAAAATAATTTTTATTTAGTATCATAGTTTTCATCAAAATTAGAGCTTTTTCTTACATTTTCGGTCAATATTAAAAGCGGTCATTCTCTGATGTCGATTACAACCACCCTAGATACTAATGAACTTGTTTCATTGTTCTCTACCACAATTGATTTAGATTCTTTCAAAGCCTCTTTATAACTCACAAAATTAGATACAAAAAATCTTTTAATTTTTAGGGATTCAAGTTTTCTCGAATCTAAAAGAATTACGATGTTCGTTCGAAAATAAAATGATGAGAAACATTCTTTGGAGAATACGGACAACATATCTCATTCTAGCCTCATCGATGGACAACATATCTCAATCTAGCCTCATTAGACAATTATATGAGGAGATCAAAGCACTAAAACATTGAACATATAGTAAAGTTTAGTGAGTAGCGAGTTAGTCTATCGATGAAGATGAGCAACTTGACCACCAAACCAAATGTCAAATGTCCTTGCTTGATGTGTTAAATTATTTAAATAAAAATCAGATGGAGCAAACTATATATTGAGGGCTAATGTTGCACTAAAAAGTTCATAAATCAGTTTTAGTTCATAAATCAAACTGAGAAAAACTGTTAAGTTCATAGATTAAGAAGCTACTTTACCCCTAAAATGACTGACCCTTGTTCCCATATGTAATGGGGTAAGGGGGAGGTAAGATAGTAGGCTGATCCCAACACCAGGTTGAGAGCAGCTTCCGTAAGAGACTTCCGAATTATGAAATACCCTCCGTGGGACTCGATCCCGTGACCTCAAGATTAAAAACTGCTTTACCCCTAACACAGAATTAATTGGTGTGACAAAGGATTTACTTGCACAACATGAACAAACTAGCACCAATTCACAAAAAACAAAAAAAAATCTTTCCCCTATGATCTAATGCAAGCTGTAAAGCCAAAATGCTACACTAAAACCAGTCCAGTTTCATTCCAGACACTACAAAACCTATTGGTTCGGCGTTTCCTCGGAAAATCTAGGAAGTTGTATGAGTGAGTTCACTCGAGTAACACCTTCCAAACCCGACCAGTTTTGGTCTTCACCGGAAACTGTGTCCATGTCCCCTTCGTGATCCTCGGGACATAGTCTTCCGCTTTCTTCCGATGATCTAACAGTAAAATTCCTCTGCAAACACGGCTCCGATTTGTTTCCGCCATCATCGGACTCACCTGCATTACCGGAATGATAACTCTGAAGGGTTGCAGAAGAAAAGCCCTGTTCCTCGTAATCCGATTCCATGTCCATTTTCCCATCCAGAAATAAGCAAACAACTGCACAATCATCCATCTTTGAAGTAGGATACTTGAGTTTCCATTCACGTGCAGCCGAGTCCACCAAAATCCTGGCAGCAGACGATCGGGACGGAGCCGATGATACAATCTCGACTACCTCTTCATTGCTCAATACATCCCATACCTGTCATAACAGTAAGGACAGATTTCCTATTATAGTAGTTTTTTTCTTTCCATATCATGTCAAACTCGAATTTACATGCTAAGGTGAAAACTATTTACCCCATCTGAGGCTAGGACGATAAATTGATCTCTTTCTGTGAGTATGAGATGGGAAAATTCGGGCACGGAGATGACACCATATTCCTTCAAACAAAAATCCCCGAAAGCTCGAGCCATTGCTAGCCCTGGTGCATCATCGAATGGCAACCACACTCGACATACTTCGGGTTCGTCTTGCAATGCAAACACCCTTCCTTTGCACTTCTTAATCCTCTCAGCTTCTCCTGTTGCATGAATTCGATGTTATTTACATCCCATTTAAGCATTCCGACGAGAAAAGGAACAATTTGTTTGGGATGTTATACTCGGTAAATCAGGTTTGAGATCAACTGTCAATTGGATTGCAACCATCGAATCGTTGCTGTCTTTCGATCCCATGACTGCTCGAGAATCCCCGATGTATCCCATGAAAAGATCAGACCCCTGAAGTAGTAAAAACCGACCCCGACCGATTTATAGATGAAAGCAAACAATCGAAAGACGAAAAGGAGCATGCAGGACTTGTGTTCATTAACCTGTTTAACTATACTGACTGCTGTGCTACCACTGCAGAAGCAGTCCAAATTAGAATGGGACCTTAGCTCTTTATCCATGGCCTTGTATGACTTCATGAATGCTTCCCTCCATAACGAACTTAATCTCTCCTCGGCTGAGACTTCCTTCTCTGAATCCCCACCGTCCGATTTCTTCTCCGAACTCCCTTTGAAACACGTTTGCCCCGACCCCTTTTGTCTCGAACGACAAGAATGCAAAGAGGACAGCAACTTAAGCGGAAGGGCATCTCTCACTTTGCGAGCAACGAGATGACCGTGAGGACCATGGCCATCAAATACACCACAAAAAGTCACATCTTCCGGCATGAAATCCTATAGGAAATTTTGAGTTCATCGATGTCATATAGCAGTTAAACTTCAAAAAACATAAACGAATACAGGAATCGAAGCGACAACATCGGAAACTTACTTCCCATACAATCATGGCATCCTGGTTTATTCCCTTGCGACCCTGCTGAGTGAATATGCAAGAGCTTCTACTCTTTCCATTTGTGAATATCCTATTGGGGACTGATGGTACATGCTGCAATCCGATAACATG